GATATATGAATGTTGAAACTGTTTTGTTCTACATTGCTCTGGACTTTTCACTTGTTTGTTCAAAATGCAACAGTCCGAGTAAAGACATTGTATAGCTTATTAGTGGGTGTGGCTTTTTTGCTAAGAGTTTAATTCCATACGACGAACTGTACATAGCTGTTTGTTTTTAAGGGAACTTTTTTTATTATGGGTCAAACTATTTATACAATATTGAAAACATAACATTTATGAAGCCATGGTTATAGTTTATTGAATACTTCACATAATATCATTTATGATCATTTATGATATCGACTAGCTTCAAGTTGTGTTATGACAAGAAACAACTTTTCTAAAAGCTCCGTTTTACATGACAATCATATGGTTTAAATTGTTTATCTATATCCGACCGACACAAGCCAAGGAGAATAAATTATGTAGTGTCACTGTTGAATGATATACTGTTTTGGCAATTAATGCCATTACGTCAGCATGTATCAGGAAATTATTCTCAATCTCCAAAGAATATATTTTTGCACATAAACTTCCTCGAAGTTCTGTGAAGCTTCCAGGGACTTATAGGCCCTCATTCCTTCTTTATCAAACATTTCGTTTTGGTTATTGGCAAGGTAAATTTCAAGTTTCCTTCAAATTTCTATCCCAATTTTCTCCCGTAATTTTCAAACACTAGGTCTCGAAATTCTACACAATTTTTTTTTTACTTTATTAAACATAAACATAAACCAAAAAACAGATGACACTCGACGACTTCACAGGTAAACGGGAAAGCGGCGGACATCCTTAACATCGAATATTGATTTGTACCAAATGACTTTGCCCCCAGTTCATCAAAATCTCGCATATTCTCTCATGAATTTTAATTAAACGCTTGACCCACTAAGAATTCTAGGTCGTGAACAAGCTTTCCCTGAACTAGAGTATTTCTGCATGTACATAGTTGTTTTTTCAATTCTTGTCTTTTAACCAATAAAAAAGGCTAGCTTGTGGGAAAAATATCAAGAAAATGTTATAAACACTTGTTGAAGTGATTACATTTTAACTCCTCAAATTAATTGTTTCAGTGATTTTAAAAAGTCTGTGTCTATTTTTGTGAAAAATTTTAATATTTCACAGCCAAAATCACTTGAAGAGGTGATTCTGAAATCACTTGTTTAAGTAGTACCCCTGATTGTAGATACTGACGACCAACTTAGGGGTATCTTTTTTTTGCATATAGCATTTTCTAGACGATTTTGAGACGATTTGTCTTGGTGATTTTCTAATTTAGTATATATTCTATTAGCAAAGATACTAGCTTGACATTTTCACAATCATTGACAATTTCATTTAAAAAAAAATTCCACACTTGTTGCAAATAGGGCAATAAAGTTTTGAAACTGTGTTCAGTGAAATTGTTTGTTTTTACTAAATAAAATTCATAAAAATTATCAATATGGCATTTAACAATGTTTAATTCTACTGCTACTAGGTAAATCTGTGATACTTAACCAAACCAATCGGATTCTTATATATCTTGCTATAACCATGAGAATACAATTTATTTCCTATATCTTTTTAAAAATCTTACGACATATCTAATTGAAACTCATACATTTGTATTTCATATTCCCAATAGAAAAATATATCCAAAAATGCCATAAAATGATACCAAATGAAGAAGTATAGTTTCTGTCAAAATATATCTAGATTTAAACATTGTACAATACTCTTCTTTAAATAACACTCCGCAATACATAACAAACGATTACGGTTATGTCATGGACCTTACTCAGGAAGACTACATAGACCTGACAACAAGCAGCAGTGATGAAACCATATGTTTAGATGAGCTACCGGAAGAACTATGGGACAGACATGTGTTTGTACATTCTATTTATAACATTTTTAGCTGAGACAATAATAACACAGAGTTGATATACAAACAATTTTAATTTACTTTCATTTTCATGTTGACAATCTATTTATATACATTTTCTATTTATACTTTCACTATTACTTCCCTTTCATAACAACTACTATACTATGACGTTGTCACAAGACAACCCGATTGTACACTTAAGTATGTTCAATGTATTATTTGTATCCTGATGACGGTGCCCTAGGCACCGAAACATGTCGATCAATAAATTTTCTGCAGCAGTCCCTCCAGTGTTGTTGTTATAAGACTTTCTACATTATTGTGTTTCATCATAACGACCCTGCATACCCGAGGTATCCACTTCAGGGACTCTAACTCACTACAGACTCACCAGGCGTTGGTTCACTTTCGTTTGTAATTGTACAATAGAAAAACAAAGGATATGGGGTATTCATCTATGACATAAAATCAGAACACACACAGTAAAAAAAACAAACAATAATATGCTCCGCAGGGCGCAGCTTGATACGACCGCAGAGGTCGAACCCTGAACAGTTGGGGCAAGTATGGACACAACATTCAAGCTTGATACAGCTCTGAATTTGGATTGTGATTAAATATTTGACACAGCATAGGTTTCTGACACAGAATGAATGTGGTCTAAGAACTTAAAAATTTTAAATTGGACATTCACCTATTATGGTTCAATATCCAAAATCTAAATACATGGTTAGATTCAGCATATCAAAGAACCCCAAGAATTCAATTTTTGATGAAATCAAACAAAGTTTAATTTTGGACCCTTTTGATCTCAATGTGGACAAAAATGATAACAGGGCCCAAAAATCAAAAATCTAAATACATGGTTAGATTCAGCATATCAAAGAACCCCATATATTCAATTTTTGTTGAAATCAAACAAAGTTTAATTTTGGACCCCGATTTGGACCAACTTGAAAACTGGGCCCATAATCAAAAATCTAAATACATGTTTAGATTCAGCATATCAAAGAACCCTAAAAATTCAATTTTTGTTAAAATCAAACTAAGTTTAATTTTGGACCCTTTGGACCTTTATGTAGACCAATTTGAAAACAGAACCAAAAATTAAGAATCTAAATACACGGTTAGATTCGGCATATCAAAGAACCCCAATAATTCAATTTTTGATGAAATCAAACAAAGTTAAATTTTGGACCCTTTGGACCTCAATGTGGACCAATTTAAAAACGGGGCCCAAAATCCAAAAACTTAATACATGGTTAGATTCAGCATATTAAAGAACCCCAAGAATTCAAGAATAAAACCCCATTGAAATTGATCAAGAAATAAGCAATTTATACAAAGTATCTTCTTTTGCACAATACTGTGCAATTGATTATTTCTTGCTATTACGCAATACTGTACAATTGACAATTTCTTGCTATTGCGCAATATTGTGCTATTGGATATTTCTTGCTATTGCACAATACTTATTATATAATAATTTACACATCCTGTTTGGTGTGTATCTCCTACCATATCATTATTATTTGCTTTTAAATATAAATCAGAAATAACCAACTTAAAAAGGAAAATTTTAAAAGAAAAAAAAAAGGAAAAAAAGAAAAAAAAAAAGAAAAAAAAAAATCCCCCCCCAAATTTTTTGAACCCCCTTATGATTCATCACCCCCAAACTCAATCTCAGCCTTCCCTTTGTGGTATGGTACCTTGCAGTACAATTTCAGAGAGATCCATACACTTGAACACAAGTTATTGTCTGGAAACTAGAAAAATGCTTATTTTTGGCCCCTTTTCGGCCCCCAATTCCCAAACGTTTCGGGCAATTACCCCCAAACTCAATTCCAGCTTTCCCTTTGTGATATGGAACCTTGTAGTACAATTTCAGAAATATCCAAACACTTACACACAAGTTATTGTCATGAAACTAGAAAAATGCTTGTTTTTTGCCCCTTTTTTGGCCCCTAATTCCTAACATTTTGAGGCAATTACCCCCAAAATCAATTACAGCCTTCCCTTTGTGATATGGAACCTTGTGGTACAATGTCAGAGAGATCCATACACTTACACACAAGTTATTGTCTGGAAGTTACAAAAATGCTTATTGTTGGCCCCTTTTTGGCCCCTAATTCCTTAACTGTTGGTACCATAACCCCCAAAATCAATCCCAACCTTCCTTTCATGGTATTGAACCTTATGGTAAAATTTCATGGAGATCCATTCACTTAAACTAAAGTTAGAGTGCGAAAACCAATGTGTCTTCGGACGACGCCGGACGACGACGACGACGACGCCAACGTCATACCAATTGCAATATACGACCAAAAAATTTTCAATTTTTGCGGTCGTATAAAAACCGAAGGAACAGTGCTTTTATTGCTGTTCTTCATCCCAAAGTCACAGTGAGGCCTTCAACATGAAGCCAAAAAGTTAAATGGGGAATGTGTCCATGGGACACAGATGATGCCCCCGCTTGCATATCATATAAAGTTATAAAGGGACATAACAGAAGAAAGGTAAAAGTGACACTTCCCAAATTTGGACTTGATCTGAGTTTTGTGGTAATAAGTATTGTGTATAAGTTTTATAACAATTTGTTGAGGAAAACTTAAGTTAGAGAAAAGAAATGAAAAATTCAGTAATTTTTCAACTTGTAAAGGGCATAACTCTAGAACATCTAAAGTGACACCACCAAAATTCAAACTTGATCTGTGTTTTGTGGTAATAAGCATTTTGTATAAGTTTCATAACATTTGGTTGAGGCAAACTAAAGTTAAAGAACGGAAACCATTACTTTGTACATACGGACAAACAAGGGTAAAACTTAATGCCCCCTCTGCTATGGCGGGGCATAAAAATGATATTGGACATCGATGAGAAGAGACTCTAATTGATTGGACATCGTTTTGGTAATAAATGACGTCACATTGGATGTCCATTCTACTCAATAGAGGGTAAAAATATTGGACACTGAATTGAGAATGTGATGTCACATTGGATGTCAATCAGAGTCCAACATATGTACAGAGGGTAAAAACAAAGGAGTTTGATAATATTTCATCTAATCTGGCATTTAAACTTGGAGTCATGTAAGCAAAACAATTTTCTTCTCTATCCGACTTATAGTAAAACAGGTACTTACATTTTTCACACAATCTACCAATGGCTGTAATAGAAATAAAATAAACCATTATATATACATGTTCATGTATATATAAACATAAATTATTCATTTAAAATTTACAAAATTTGTATACAGTGTACATGTACGTATTTTGGAAACGTAAGTACAAAATATATGGGAATAATTGGTAAAGGGTTGTGTGTACTACATTTTTTTATGATAAGAATTGGGGACAATTAATTATTTTGGGTGCCATCAGTAGGACAGGAACTGCATATCCTTCCAGAGCACCTGAATTCACCCTTCTTTTGAATGGCAATCTGGTTAAAATAGAGATCCTGTGTCTACGCTTTGATTACAAGGATCTGACAACGCTCCCTTCTACTTTCTGATCTAAAGACCTTTGGGGATCCTCTGGTTTGTCGTCATGTTACATGTACCTTCAAATATTGGAGGAAGAAATTTAATTGGCTGATGTAATAATCACCAGAACAGAAAGTAAAACAGAGTGTTATCAGACAATTGTTAACAAAGTGTGGACACAGCATCTATATTTTAATTAGATTGTTTGTACGGTTGGTGATGCTTAATATTTCATTTTCTGTGCTACCTTAAGTACAAAATGTTTGCCAGCTATAGGTGTCAAAGATTTGACGCTATTCTTTAGTGGACTGTAACTAACATTACCTTTATACATGTAACATCAAGGTGCTTATTATGTATTGAGGTCTACATGTTATATTCATTTTGAAAACGAGTATAGAGTCTTTTTAAAAATACAAATAGAACTGTGTATTCATACTTTTTAACTAACCCAATCCGATTAAAATACAAATCCTGTCTCCCTACTTTGCATCCAAAACGACCTAAAAACACTCTGTTCTACCTTCTCTTTTGAAGATCTATTAGGATCATCCACTGGTCATGATGATGTTGTGGTAATTATGCACACCTTCAAAAATTTGAAGGCAGAAATTTCATTGGCTGATGTAATAATTTCCAAAACAGAAAGTAGAATGGAGTGTTGTCAGATCCTTGTAACCATGGTAACCAAATCGTTGACACAGGACCTGTATGTCAATCAGATTATTACCAACCATACTCAAGGTTCACCACAGAATGAAAATCAAGGGTGGGGGAGAGATGTCATCAATTCTAAGAGGATGCAGATTGTTACTAACCACACCCAGGGTTAACCACAGAATGAAAATCAAGGGTGGGGAGAGATGTCATTAATTCTAAGAGAATGCAGATTGTTACCACACCCAGGGTTAACCACAGAATGAAAATCAAGGGTGGGGGAGAGATGTCATCAATTCTAAGAGGATGCAGATTGTTACTAACCATACCCAGGGTTCACCACAGAATGAAAATCAAGGGTGGGGGAGAGATGTCATCAATTCTAAGAGAATGCAGATTGTTACTAACCACACCCAGGGTTCACCACAGAATGAAAATCAAGGGTGGGGGAGAGATGTCATTAATTCTAAGAGAATGCAGATTGTTACAAACCACACCCAGGGTTCACCACAGAATGAAAACCAAGGGTGGGGGAGAGATGTCATCAATTCTAAGAGGATGCAGATTGTTACTAACCATACCCAGGAACCACCGCAGAATGAAAACCAAGGATGCAGATTGTTACTAACCATACCCAGGGTTCACCACAGAATGAAAATCAAGGGTGGGGGAGAGATGTCATTAATTCTAAGAGGATGCAGATTGTTACTAACCACACCCAGGGTTCACCTCAGAATGAAAACCAAGGGTGGGGGAGAGATGTCATCAATTTTAAGAGGATGCAGATTGTTACTAACCATACCCAGGGTTCACCACAGAATGAAAACCAAGGGTGGGGGAGAGATGTCATCAATTCTAAGAGGATGCAAATTGTTTCTAACCATACTCAAGGTTCACAACAGAATGAAAATCAAGGGTGGGGGAGAGATGTCATTAATTCTAAGAGAATGCAGATTGTTATTAACCATACCCAGGGTTAACCACAGAATGAAAATCAAGGGTGGGGGAGAGATGTCATCAATTCCAAGAGGATGCAGATTGTTACTAACCACACCCAGGGTTCACCACAGAATGAAAACCAAGGGTGGGGGAGAGATGTCATCAATTCTAAGAGGATGCAGATTGTTACTAACCATACCCAGGGTTCACCACAGAATGAAAATCAAGGGTGGGGGAGAGATGTCATCAATTCTAAGAGGATGCAGATTGTTACTAACCACACCCAGGGTTCACCACAGAATAATAAACTGCTTCGCTGAGCGCAGCTAGATACGCCCGCAGAGGTCCAACCCTGAACAGTTGGGGCAAAAATGGACACAATATTCAAGCTTGATTCAGGTCTGAATTTGGATTGTAATTAAATATTTGACATATTATAGGTGTCTGAATAAATGTATTCAAAGAACTTGAAATTGGTTATATGAATTGAATTTATGTTCAATTAAAGATTTCTTGCTGTTGTGCAATACTTAGTAAATCTGTTGTCACAGTATAAACAAATAAAGTATAATTAATTCTCAATGTCATATTAGAAATTTATGAAAATAAAAAGGGAGCTTACATCAATAGATATAAACAATTTACCAAAGTTTCATGAGAATTGGTGACAGCATTTTTGAGTTATTGTGAGAAAACTGGGAAATCACCCCGTTTTAATGAATAAAACCCCATAACTTAGAAATGTAAAATGTAAAATTTATAAAATTCTAAAGGGAGCTTACATCAATACATACAAACAATTCACCAAAGTTTCATAAGAATTGCTGAAAGCATTTGTGAGTTTTTGTCTGATAACTGGAAAGTCCCCCCTTTTTTATGAATAAAACCCAGTAACTCGGAAATGTAAAATCTAAAATTTATAAAAATCAAAAGGGAGCTCATGTCAATAGATATAAACAATTCACCACAATTTCTTGCAAGTTGGTGAAAGCATTCTTGACTTATTGTCCGAAAACTGGAAAATCCCCCTTTTTTTAATGAATAAAACCCCATAACTCGGAAACGTAAAATCTAAATTTTATAAAAAACGAAAGGGAGCTCACGTCAATAGATATAAACAATTCACCAAAGTTTTATGCAAATTGGTTTAAGCAATTTTGAGTTAATGTCCGACATGTTGACGACGGACAGACGGACGGACAGACGGACAGACGGACGGACGGACAGACGGACAACGGTATACCATAATACGTCCCGTAAACGGGCGTATAAAAATCAAGGGTGGGGGAGAGATGTCATCAATTCTAAGAGGATGCAGATTGTTACTAACCATACCCAGGGTTCACCACATAATGAAAACCAAGGGTGGGGGAGAGATGTCATCAATTCTAAGAGGATGCAGATTGTTACTAACCAAACCCAGGGTTCACCACAGAATGAAAATCAAGGGTGGGGGAGAGATGTCATCAATTCTAAGAGGATGCTGATTGTTACCAACCATACCCAGGGTTCACCACAGAATGAAAATCAAGGGTAGGGGAGAGATGTCATCAATTCTAAGAGGATGCAGATTGTTACTTACCACACCCAGGGTTCACCACAGAATGGAAATCAAGGGTGGGGGAGAGATGTCATCAATTCTAAGAGGATGCAGATTGTTACTAACCATACCCAGGGTTCACCACAGAATGAAAATCAAGAGTGGGGGAGAGATGTCATCAATTCTAAGAGGATGCAGATTGTTACCAACCATACTCAAGGTTCACCACAGAATGAAAATCAAGGGTGGGGGAGAGATGTCATCAATTCTAAGAGGATGCAGATTGTTACTAACCATACCCAGGGTTCACCACAGAATGAATATCAAGGGTGGGGGAGAGATGTCATCAATTCTAAGAGAATGCAGATTGTTACAAACCACACCCAGGGTTCATCACAGAATGAAAACCAAGGGTGGGGGGGAGATGTCATCAATTCTAAGAGGATGCAGATTGTTACTAACCATACCCAGGAACCACCGCAGAATGAAAACCAAGCATGCAGATTGTTACTAACCATACCCAGGGTTCACCACAGAATGAAAATCAAGGGTGGGGGAGAGATGTCATTAATTCTAAGAGAATGCAGATTGTTACTAACCATACCCAGGGTTCACCACAGAATGAAAACCAAGGGTGGGGGAGAGATGTCATCAATTTTAAGAGGATGCAGATTGTTACTAACCATACCCAGGGTTCACCACAGAATGAAAACCAAGGGTCAGGGAGAGATGTCATCAATTCTAAGAGGATGCAGATTGTTACTAACCATACTCAAGGTTCACCACAGAATGAAAATCAAGGGTGGGGGAGAGATGTCATTAATTCTAAGAGAATGCAGATTGTTACTAACCATACCCAGGGTTCACCACAGAATGAAAACCAAGGGTGGGGGAGAGATGTCATCAATTTTAAGAGGATGCAGATTGTTACTAACCATACCCAGGGTTCACCACAGAATGAAAACCAAGGGTCAGGGAGAGATGTCATCAATTCTAAGAGGATGCAGATTGTTACTAACCATACTCAAGGTTCACCACAGAATGAAAATCAAGGGTGGGGGAGAGATGTCATTAATTCTAAGAGAATGCAGATTGTTACTAACCATACCCAGGGTTAACCACAGAATGAAAATCAAGGGTGGGGGAGAGATGTCATCAATTCTAAGAGGATGCAGATTGTTACTAACCACACCCAGGGTTCACCACAGAATGAAAACCAAGGGTGGGGGAGAGATGTCATCAATTCTAAGAGGATGCAGATTGTTACTAACCATACCCAGGGTTCACCACAGAATGAAAATCAAGGGTGGGGGAGAGATGTCATCAATTCTAAGAGGATGCAGATTGTTACTAACCATACCCAGGGTTCACCACAGAATGAATATCAAGGGTGGGGGAGAGATGTCATCAATTCTAAGAGAATGCAGATTGTTACAAACCACACCCAGGGTTCATCACAGAATGAAAACCAAGGGTGGGGGGGAGATGTCATCAATTCTAAGAGGATGCAGATTGTTACTAACCATACCCAGGAACCACCGCA